TGGACGAATTGCTGCCGAAACTGTCGGCAGAGGTTCTGTACATTTGGTGCACTTCTTTGTCGAGGAGTTTGTCCATAATTTTATGCAACTTTTGCTGATCGTCTTTATAGTGTACTAATAATGTGAGCACCAGTTCTCCCCTCTGACGACGGGTGCCCTCACAGAGCAAGGGGTGTTCGGCTTCGGACACATTGGCTTTGAGTCCGAGTGCGGCCACAGCGGCCTCGAAGCCCAACCGCTCGTCAGTCGGTATCTTAATGTTGTTCACGGGATTCGTTCGCGACTGGTTCTGATTGGACGCCAGGACGAGTGCGTCGAATATATACGAGGCCAACATGAGTGGCAACAAAGCCTCGCCTCTGGTGGTCAAGAGTCCGTCCCTCAACTGTTCGGCCTTTTCTCTCACAATTTGCATCATTTTGTACGACAATGGGATGCGTTTGAGGAGAAGCACGAGATCCTGCTCTTGATTCGCAAGTTTCAGGAGGTCTCGGAAGCAGCTCCGGCCGCCGGCTCGCTAGAGGTCTGGTTTGTCTGGGTGAGCCTTCCGGTCCATCACTATCAGCCTCAAGAGCGGGTTGTGACTCGTGTTCTTCCGGCGGATCGACAGCGTGGCCGACACCAGAAGCGAGACCTGATGGCAGACCGGATTGAAACGACGGTTACGTTTGCCGCGCGCGGGCGGACTCGGCGTCTCGATTAACAGATTGGGCGGATTGGAGAGTAACTCTTCGGCCAATTTGACGGCCAACAGACACGCCTCGAGAGTCCTTCCGTGAGCGTGCAGTGCCTCCGCTCTGGCGAACAGCACTTCAATGGGATCTTCAATCTTATTGACCACAACACTCACGCTTTCATTTTCATCCACTTTCGCGGTCTTCAGGGCTTGTATTTTGACGGTCAATGAGTTTCCGTTCTTATTCTCGTTGGCCTTCGGGTCGTAATAATATAACTCGTATTCATTCACCTCTTTGGCCACCGCTCTGTCGACGGGCGGCGCGTTATTGACGGCATTGCTGTTGGCGTCCAGAGGGTTGACACTAACGCCGCAGTCGGCGCTCAGATCACTGCCGTTTTCGTCGGCAATCATATCAGTGCTATCACTGCTGCTGTCCCTCAAGACAGCGTTGACAACGGCGGCGGCAGACCTGACAGCTTCGGGCAGCTTAGAGGTGGACTCAATGGGTGCCATCGCCTCATCAAAGGTCTCATTCTCTGTCTCGCAAAAACCTTCACTACTCAACGAACTCCGATTGGATTCATTCAGTTTACCACTCTTTGAGCCGATGTTGACCGCAGAAGAGGCGGCGCCGGACATCATATGCGGCGAATGAGTGACCTTTGATGTGGATGGCTGTGGTTGCAATGATGTCGATGCGATCGCTTTGGTATCATTCAAATGGTTGGGAGATTGAGTGGATGAGGTCTGGGCGCCGCCAATCTCGACGGAACGACCCCTACGGCCGACGACAGCCACTCTCGATGTGTTGGCGTTATCTACAGCTGATGGCTGACACGCCGACGAAGAGATGAGCGACGAGTGAGTGGAGGAGAGAGAGAGAGAGAGAGAGAGAGTTCGGGATAGACAGAGAGAAAGCGATGGAGAGTTTGGTGTGTATTGTATTTTAATATAATATATTGTTTTATGAGTGCTTTTTTATGGGCCCCGGAGTGTACCGACCGATCGATGTGTCTGTGAGTCTCACACTTTCTATGTATACTGTAATGTGTGACACACTTTGTCCGCCGGCGGCGACCGTTACGACCGAAAAGAACCAAACATTTTATGATTTTATTGTTTGACAATTAGTTATTCAACAAATCAACAACAAAAAAGTTAAAACAGTATTTGTTTTTTACACTTTTCTCCTTATTCTTCATCGTCTATACTATAGATTCTATAGTATATTATATTTAATAAATAGTAATTTTCACTAATATTTTGCGATTTTACGCGAAATAAATCACACAATTAATTAATTTATACCTCATTTTCACTCATTTATGTTTGTTTTTTAACAATAATTCTGGTGTAGACCTGAGCTTTGCGTTAACTCTCTATTACATAATGATATCCATGTTTTGTGTGTTATAATGTTATGTATGGTATTGTTTATAATCAAAATTTATACAACAATTATAATGTAAAATAATATTAAATATCAATAATAATAATAATTATCATAAGTCTTTGTACAGCGATTTCATGCCAACCATACATTTCAATTTGGATGTCATATAAATTCTTTTGCTAATCAATAAAGCGGTAAAGTATTTGTGTCGAGAAGTTTATGAGCAGTTGTTATACATATGTAAAAATTGTTATATGTTTTCCGTGTTTTCTCTCGACATTTATTACTTTTAATAACGCATTTCTAGTTCTATATAAATAACTATAAGACATACCAATTGAGAGTCGATTGTAATATTGATTTATAAATATTTGGACTATTGTTACACCACTTTTATGGCGGCGTTAAAAGTGATGTGCGATTTATAACTAATATTTGCTATTCATTTGATGTGACGTTAAGTCGTGGTGTTTGTTGTCTTCATTTATAATTTTATGTGTGTTTTTCATTTCATTTATATTTAGTTCGTTTTGTTTTGTAAATACATTTATATATCATTTTAATGGTCACTAAACGAAACCAATTATCAAATGGCTGTTTGTAGAGAAGTGGCGATGTGTTGCCATAAGTCCTTTTTGCACGACTTGGACCGCCGTAACGACTGTAAGAGTTCGTTGAACTGTATGTTCCCGCCGGGCGTCATCTGGAACGCCGATCGGGCGGCCCGTATGGTCATCACGAACTCGTCGTAGTCGGCGGGCGTTATGTGATACATCTTGAAGTGTGTGCACGCTATGAACCTATACACGCACGGGTTAGGGGGTGCGCACAGGGAGGCAATCAGAAACACACAGTTAGAGAGCAATTATTTTCAATCCAAATGTTAGGCATTGGACTTACATTTGTTGGCATTTCTGGATGAGTGGCGTCAGTAGGTGTGAGCGAATGGGATGAGCGATGCCCGGGTTGCCCGACGAGTGGGTCAAGTATTGTGCGGTGTCTAACACTATCTCATGCAATACGAACGGCGAGGCGACCGAATTGACGGTACAAATGCAGAAGTCTTGCAAATATGACGTCCCTATAAGAGAGCAATCAATAACACAAAAACCAATTATAAAACAAATCAAACAATTCGTATCAATTAGTAGTTTAAAACACAAATAAATACCCAGTTTTTTGGCCACATTTAACAACCATTTCACATCTTCGCCGTACGACGGGTTCTTAGCGTACTTGGCCTGAGGCCTGTCGTCGTGCACCCGTCGGGCCAGCGTTTCCATGGCTAACATACCGACCCTATAGGCGGACAGAAGGTAACCCAACTGTCGCTGATTGAGTTGTTGGAGCTGTTGATGGGGTTGAGGGCCGGATAGCGTGGGCACACCGGCCGCGTTCAGGTGTATGGTGTGCTGGCCGTGAGAGCCGCTGGTGGCGATTGTGATGATATGCGGACGCGGGAACTGTTGCTGCTGTTGATGGTGTTGTTGGGCAACACTTTGGGCAACGCTTACCGAAGGCATGAGTGGCTGATTCTGGAACACGACGGGAGTCATGACATTACGCAAGTGTGGCATCGGTGCCGCCGATGTTGTGGTCACAGGGTTTGAGTAGAATTGGTAGGGATAGGGAGGACAGGCCGGCGCCGTCGATATATACTGAAAGGGAGGCATCTGTTGAGGAAACGGCGCTATACTTTGATAGTAACCAAACGGATACGTGGCGTTCGGGTGCGGCGGCAGAGCGAACGGACCGGTGGGCGCGCAGGACAGCGATGGCATCATTTGCATGGTTGGCATCGGGGGAACGGCGCTCGAGTGGGAGACCACTGGCATAATGGACGCCTGCGAGACGCCCGCCATTATAGGATCGTACTGTGGCTGACGGTCCGGTTGGTGGAGCATTAGGTGGCTTTGAACGCCATCACCCATACATAGGTTGGCGTTAATACTGTTGACAACGGCTGAGGGCTGCATATCAATGACATTGGCCAACGAATCGCCGGCCCCCGCGTTGTTTCGGTGCGAATGCCTCTGCAGGTGATTCCGGCCCCTCTCTTGAAGGCTCTCTTCGTAGAGCTCGTGCCACTTCTTGGCCACTTCGAAGAGCACCTCCGGGTAAACACCGCCGCCTTTCGCGGCCGATTCCACGGCCAGACACGCCCTCTCCAGCATATCGTTGCTCTGCTCTTTGCACTGAATCAACGCCCTCTGGATCTCATTGGGGTTGAGTGCGTGCGCGTGTGGCAGACAAGACAGCGCCAGTTCGGCCGCCGCCTTAACCATAGTGGGCTCGCGACCCCTGGAAGCCCTGTCGGCCAGTGAGGCCACTTCGGGCGGAGTCAGGTGTCCCTCCCAGGTCTCGATCAAGAAATTGATGGCAGAGTTGCCGATCTCCATGGCCTGACCCGTGATCCACGACACGTGCGACGAGTAGGTGCGCGACAACCAGTTGGGCGACACCGTGTTGTGGAGGCCGAGGGCGTAGACACCGATCTGAAAGGCGCACATATGTAGGGAACGGTGGGGTCCGCGACAGTTCTGTGTGGCCGAGGGTTGGGTGAAGAGCACGGCTGTGGTGCTATTGCCGCCGGCCTTAACCAACACTGTTTTGGCCAATTCAAACATGAAGTGCGCGGACGCTTCCGATGGCTGGTTCGGTATGGAAGGGTAGGCGCGCTTTCCCTTAAACCGAATCGGTTTTATCGTCGAATTGGACACCAATGGGGAACTGTTGGTCACCAGAGCTGTGTTGTTACAGCACGCGGCGGATGGAGTGATGGTCACAGCGCTGGCCGCCGGCGGGTTGGGAGGGGTTGTGACGGTTGAGGGGCCGGCGGCGGGCGAAGAGGTGGAAGCGGCCGCAGCGGCTGCCGTTAAACGTCCGGAATTGGACGGCACAGTCGTGGGATCGGTAACCGTGCAAACAGTGGCCAGTCGTTGGGCGACTGCACTCACTTTGGGACTCTCGACATCGCGCGCCAAATTGCGGTTCGCTTTGTCGCCCGAAGAGCTGGACGAGAACGAGTCGCTACTCTCGCCGCTACTGCCGCTGTCACTGCCCGGTCCGCCGGGCCTTATCCACATCGAGCGGCGCACCACTGTTGGCGAGTTGTCGCTGGACGTGGTCTCCGGTGCGCTGCTGTCAATGCTGGCCATTCCGACCGAGTGTTTCTTATTTGTCCTAAAGTTAGTGCACCGGAAGCGGGCCTCCCATGCCTTGTAGTCTTCGTCCCAACACGGACTCGACGCGTCCTCTGGTCGCGTCTCGGAATCACATTTAGACTTATTCGGGGCTTTGAAGTCACGCGAAGTGACCGTCGTTTCAGTGCCTCGGGTCGCGTCCAATGGGCCGCTGGTTGTGAACGCGGTGTTCGGCTCATTGGTGGCCAACGGCGGTGAGACCACCGGTGGTGGGGTGTCGTCAGTCTCTACGGCCGCGCTGTTGGCGTTACTCACGTCCTGAGCGCTGCCACTGACAGTCTTCGACGGCGTTGTGGCCGTCGGTGTGGATGTAGTGGTGTTTGCGTTACCATTGGACGAATTGCTGCCGAAACTGTCGGCAGAGGTTCTGTACATTTGGTGCACTTCTTTGTCGAGGAGTTTGTCCATAATTTTATGCAACTTTTGCTGATCGTCTTTATAGTGTACTAATAATGTGAGAACCAGTTCTCCCCTCTGACGACGAGTGCCCTCACAGAGCAACGGGTGTTCGGCTTCGGACACATTGGCTTTGAGTCCGAGTGCGGCCACAGCGGCCTCGAAGCCCAACCGCTCGTCAGTCGGTATCTTAATGTTGTTCACGGGATTCGCTCGCGACTGGTTCTGAATGGACGCTAAGACGAGTGCGTCAAATATATATGAGGCCAACATGAGTGGCAACAAAGCCTCGCCTCTAGTGGTCAAGAGTCCGTCTCTCAACTGTTCGGCCTTTTCTCTCACAATTTGCATCATTTTGTACGACAATGGGATGCGTTTGAGGAGAAGCACGAGATCCTGCTCTTGATTCGCGAGTTTCACCTCCAGAGCCTTCGTCGAGGCCGGCGGCCGAGCGATCTCCAGACCAAACAGACCCACTCGGAAGGCCAGGTAGTGATAGTCGGAGTTCTCGCCCAACACTGAGCACAAGAAGGCCGCCTTCGACAGAGTGGCCGACACCAGAAGCGAGACCTGATGGCAGACCGGATTGAAACGGCGGTTACGTTTGCCGCGCGCGGGCGGACTCGGCGTCTCGATCAACAGATTGGGCGGATTGGAGAGTAACTCTTCGGCCAATTTGACGGCCAACAGACACGCCTCGAGAGTCCTTCCGTGAGCGTGCAGTGCTTCCGCTCTGGCGAACAGCACTTCAATGGGATCTTCAATCTTATTGACCACAACACTCACGCGTTCGTCACTTTCATCCCCTTTCGCGGTCTTCAGGGCTTGTATTTTGACGGTCAATGAGTTTCCGTTTTTATTCTCGTTAGCCTTCGGGTCGTAATAATATAACTCGTATTCATTCACCTCTTTGGCCACCGCTCTGTCGACGGGCGGCGTGTTATTCACGGCATTGCTGTTGGCGTCCAGAGGGTTGACACTAACGCCGCAGTCGGCGCTCAGATCACTGCCGTTTTCGTCGGCAATCATATCAGTGCTATCACTGCTGCTGTCTCTCAAGACAGCGCTGGCAACGGCGGCGGCAGACCTAACAGCTTCGGGCAGCTTAGAGGTGGACTCAATGGGTGCCATCGCCTCATCAAAGGTCTCATTCTCTGTTTCGCAAAAACCTTCGCTACTCAACGAACTCCGATTGGATTCATTCAGTTTACCACTCTTTGAGCCGATGTTGACCGCAGAAGAGGCGGCGGACATCATATGCGGCGAATGAGTGACCTTTGATGTGGATGGCTGTGGTTGCGATGATGTCGATGCGATCGCTTTGGTATCATTCAAATGGTTGGGCGATTGAGTGGATGAAGTCTGGGCGCCGCCAATCTCGACGGAACGACCCCTACGGCCGACGACAGCCACTCTCGATGTGTTGGCGTTATCTACAGCTGATGGCTGACACGCCGACGAAGAGATGAGCGACGAGTGAGTGGAGGCGTGCACTGGAGGCGTATACCAGCGATTACTGCGAATACAGTAGTAAGTGATGCCAGGGATCGGGTAATCACTCCAATCCATGAGACAGCCCTCCATCGCCGGCTTAAAGCCAGGAAACACATCGATATCGGACTTCTTAATGCCGTTACCGTTGTTCCCATTGTTAACAGTTGTCCGCATTTTGAGCACCCGCTCGAGTGTCTTCAGGTGCCAGTCGTGGAGTTGATTGTAAAACATTTTACCATCATTTGGCGATAGCGCCGGATTGAGTGCCACCAGACGCCAGAGCACCACAATCTCGTCGCACAGCGAACTACAGGCGTGTTGTGAGGCGTGAGTATTGCTGTGAATGGAGGCCCTATTCCCGTGACCGTTGATACCGGCGTGAAGTAACACTTTCGTGTTAAACCACCACAAGATTATCTGATCGCAGGCCAACACCTCTTCGGTGAGTATCTCCAGCAACGGTATGGCGTTTCGATCGGATCGGCGCAACATTTCGCGCACAATCGACAACAGATTCCACATGCCTTCGGGTTCGCGGCCGCGCAATGGCCTCAACAAACTGGACCACTCGGCCGCCGCCGGTGGCGCTGTGGAGGACAAGTAGTTCACGTCACTGAACACTATGGGCGACGGAACGCATAGTTTGATCAGTATTTTGCGTATATTCTCGTGGAGTTGAGACTCGTCTAAACACCATTTGGTCTGTTCCTGAGCCGAAGCGCCGGCGGTCGGGTCGGGCGCTCCGCACACCGTATTGATGGCCGTCAACTGATTGGACAACAGCTCGTCCAACAGTCGTTGAGCGGTGGGCAGTATTTGTTGTGGCAATTCGCTGATCAGGTACTGAGCAAACTTCTGGAGCTGATCCCTATGCAAGCGGGACAGCGATTCGGATACCGGCGCGCGAAGACATACTTGGTTTGGCTGCGGGGGTGAAAGCGGGGGACAGAGCGGTGAAGAGATAACACAATCAATGTATTAGTATTTCCAGTAGTTTTAGGGAACAATAAAAATAAGTGCAACAAAAAAACATCACTTCAAAGCCCAGACACTGACCTGATGTATGCGAAAGAGACAGACAGAGACCACGTGCGAACACCACGACGGGCCCGGACACGTGCAGTTGCACGACGTGATACGGCGCCTGTCGAAAGTGACCGCCACATTGTATGAGCCCTTAGAGATGCCCAGCGATTGGGGCGGTGTTATGGTTGCGCTTAAGTGGAAACCTATTCACA